CATCCCCATTACTTGTTCATACACAGCATCAGAGAGAATGATAAGTAGGGATAAACCTGGATAGTAAAAGTAATTGATGCTTCTCTTCCCACCAATCACTCTATTTCTATCCTTCTGAAGCATTTAAAAAAAAAAAAATATTCTGGGGTGGCTATATGTGTTAACTCAATGGTACAGCATTTGCCTAGCAAGTGCAAGGCCCTGATTTCAGTCCCCTGCACTATTGATTTTAAAAAGTCTTTTAAGTTGGGTGCAACAGTAAATGCCTATAATCCCAGCTACTCAGGAGGCTGAGGCAGTAGGATTTCAAGTGCCATACCAGCCTGGACAACTAAGCAAGACCCTGTCTTTAAAAAAATAAAAAGGGCTGAGGATAATGCTCAGTGGTAGAATGATCTAGCATGCATGGGACTCTGGGTTCAATTTCCAATACTGGGTATTGAACCAGTACTGGGATTTGTGGTACTGGGGATTGAACCCAGGGGCACTTATCACTGAGCTACATCTCTAGCCCCTTTTATTACGTTTTTTGGTTCCAAAAATTGAACCCAGGGACATTTAACCATTGAACCACATCCCCAGTCCTTTTTATATTTTATTTTGAGACAGGATCTTGCTAAATTGTTCAGAGTCTTGACAGTTACTGAGATTGGTCTTAACTTGTAATCCTCATGCCTCAGCCTCCTGATTCACTGGGTTTATAGGTGTACGTCACCATGCTTGGCTAAAATAACTTATTATTTATTTATTTATTGTTACTGAAAATTGAACCCAGGGGTGCTTTACTACTGAGCTACATCTCCAGCCCTTTTTGTCTTAGCCCTTAGGGTCTCACTAAGTTGCTCATGGCCTCAATAAATTGCTAAAGCTGGCCCTGAACTTTCAATCCTCCTGTCTCAGCCTCCTGAGTTGTTGGGATTACAGGTATGCACCCTTGCCCCTGAAATTTTTTTTTTTTTTTTTACTATGACACAAAGTAAGAAATATCACAATGTTCCAAGTACAAACTATATACAAATATGTGCTTTTCAAACCTAAAATAAAACTGAAAACTGGGCATGATGCAGCAGGAGAATCACTGAAGCCCAATAGCCTAGATCTAATAGCCTAGATACCTTGGCAAGGGTCCACCTCAAGAAAGTTTTGAGAACTGGATGTGGTGATGAATACTTGTATTCCCAGTGACTTGGGAGGCTGAGGATTGAGTCCAGGGGCACTCTACCACTGATCTTTCTTATTTTTTTAATTTTTAGTCAGGGCCTTGCTAAGCTGCCAAGGCTTATGATCCTTCTGCCTGAGTCTTCTGAGTCACTAGGATTACAGGCCTATATTTACATGCCCAATTCACTATAGTTTTTAAATGCTGATTTCAACCCACTAAATTGATTTCACCATCCACTACTGGAGTGCAACTCACAGTTTGAAAAACCATTTTGCTAACATGTGCCAAGCATGTGTTGGGTATTATATTGTCAGGCACAGTAGTCAGCTAATGCTAAAACATTAAATAACTTGCTCAAGATAACACAGCAGATAGGTGGGCAGACAGAAATAAATATGCTTCTGATTGCAAAGCCCACTTTTTACACTGTATCAAACCGCCTCAGTGTAATCAGACTGAAGTGTAAAGAACATAACAGCTGGTATACACAAGAGGATTCTATGTGTCAAGCACTGTTCTAAATAGTTTATACTGACTCATCTACTGTTCCCTGTAAAGTAGGTATTATTATTCTCCTTTTTCCCAGATAAAGAAACTTCAACATAGATGGGTTAAGGGACTTGCCCAAGATCACCCAAATAATCTCTCTCCCTGTATAATAGTCTCTTGATGGCTTTCAATGCCCATAGCATAAAATAAAATCTAAACTTTTTAGCAAGGACTCTATGATGTAAACCTTATAACCTTCACACTACTTCCAGGACTGGATCAGTGAACTGTGTCTTATCCCTAGGGTCCATCATTCATGTTTATGGTTATGGTGCACCTGGCACAGTTGGAAGTATTCAGGATACATCCTGAACCAAACATAAACATGAATCCTACCCTATGGAAAAGACATCATCGAGCCTACTGATGAAAGAAGAAATAAAAGAAGGTAGAAACTCAAAATAGCATGAGTGGAATTTACCTAGAAAGATGCCACCCTAGAGGAAAACTGTTGCTAGGAAAAAGAGGACGCCCCCATGGAGAAAGTGTTAATTCCGTCCTTTTGACGCGCCAATTCAGCGATGCCCACGACCCCTGGCTCCAATTCCAAGGGCCAAGATCTTTGATCCCCCACACCCCAATGGGTTCCCTCGTCTTTCTGTGTGCTCATACCCGGCTCAGGGCTCCAGACAAGGATGAGTATTACAATCTAAGAAGCAAATTTCTAAATTACCTCCACCCAGTCGCACCCAAGGCACGCCCCTCCCGCCCTCCGGAGGAATCAAGATGGTACCCGGGGAGCCGAGGGCGAGGCCCCCAGAATTTACCTACTTTGAGTCGCCGCGCGCGCCACCAGTAACGGCCGTGACCTGGGTGGCGCGAGTGCGTGTCCGGAAGGGACTTGAATCGCTGATTGGCTCTTGTAGCTGTCTTTCACATGCTGCAGTCGCTGATTGATGAAGCTCCCAGAGCACAGGCACTTTCGAAGGTCCGCCCTTTCCCCGCCCCCTCACGGCTCAAACGGGAGACTGCTCGCAGGGGACTGGTAGTTAAAGTAGAATATAATCCGAGGCCGCCAGGAGTTTACGGAATAACGCACCACGATTGGGCAGCTCCAAGGGACAACCCATTACCGCCCACTTCCCGCGCAGATTTCCAAACCGCGACCAGAGAGTCTGGCGCCAGAGAATGCTGGCAGCAGATAGAAGGGCTCTACCATAGACGTCTACCGAATCCTGCATCCAGAGCGCCCTTCCGCGGTCCTCCCAGACATGGAGTCCGCTGACTCATGAGACATGAAAATGGGTTGCGGTTGCAGTCGTGGCTCGAGGCTGCAGTTTGGAGTATAGCCCGTAGGCGTGGCGCTTGAGGACTACTCATTGCAGCGGAATTTAATTTCCTTTTAATTTGTTTAGTAGAAATCATGTCATTTGTTCATGGGAATATATCCCTGACGGACATTTTGAGGTCATTTTCCTAAATGGAAGAACCTAAAGCAAACGTTTCTAGGCAAACAGAGAATGCTGTTTTGTTAACATCTTAAAAAGTCTGTGCTTCCCTTTCAAGAGACGAGGAAAGAATGAAAAAATCATTTACTTAATTTCATAAGACATGAAGAGAATAGTGAGAATTTGACACGTGCATAATCTAGTAAGATCTGTATCTTAACTGTGTCTATAACAAATATACTAAAATTGACTTCATAAACGAAGCATTGAAGCTCTGTGAAATTAAATAACGTGCTTAGGTTCCTGAAGACTAATTGAATCAAATTCTCTATAATTTTAAATTCTGAATGTCTTTCCTCTAACGCTGTAACTGCTTTCATTGCAAGCGCACCCTAGACATTTAAAACATGTTTTAAAAGAGTAGAGGGGCCTTATATAATTTGATGTTCCTTTATTTATTAAGTGACTTAGAAAAGGGTATTGATCTGTGTATTGGTCAAATGTGAATGAATGATCTTATTCATTTATTTGTTACTTTTAGGTGGACATAATGTCTTTATTTTTTTATATTTATGTAGTGCTGGGGATCGAACCCAGTGCCTCATGCATACTAGGCTAGCACTCTACCACTGAGCCTGAGCCATAACCCCAGCCCCCTCCCCCCAATTAATGATTTTTTTTACCACATTATTACTGTTACACCACCTTCTTGTTAATACACTTCTCAAGATTCTGTGGGTCAAAGAACTAATTCTTAAACATTTTTGTATCCATAGTATCCTGCTTTGGAGGATACTTGGTATCTATCAAATGAATGACTCACTGGGAAGAAGCAGAGAGGTTCATACTTGAGCCCATCCCATTTTCCTCCTCCCCACCTTTTAAATCCTGAGGCTTTGCAATAGCCACACCTAGTCACTGAAATTAGAAAACTGAAAAATTACTGACTTCATCTCAGAGTCTAATAAAGGCAGGCTGGGAAGACACTGAAATTCTATCAGGAACCTCACCCCATAGTTCCCTTTTGACAAGATGACCAAGGTGTCCTCAAACTCTACCCTAACGCCCTGATCCCCTCATGGACCAAGAGAGACTTCTAGCTCCACAAATCCCAGATCTCAGCTTCACTAAACTATTCAATTTATTCTTTCAACATTCCTTCCAGACAACCTCTCTATTCTGAAAAGCACTTGCTACAATTTTTTTTTTCTTTTTTAAGATTAATTACGAAGGATGGTTATGGGATCATTTGCACTCTCCATCCTTAACCAAGCTTTGCCTTCTTACTCAAAAGTCCCAAAGAAAGAGGAGGATAATCCCTTCCTTATTCCTGTGAGGTGTCTGGGGGAACGGGGTTTTTACTGAAATTCATGCCTAAGGTCACCAAAGGACTAGATGTATGTAGCATAAGAGGGTACCACAGTTCTTCCAGTTTTCGCTGAGCTAAGCAGTCCTGTCTCCCCGAGAGCTACCGCAGTGGGCAGCTTTCAGGGCGTGCCTACCCCACCTCCTAGCTCCTGGAACCCCAGACTCCCACATACCAAGAACGATTTCATTTTTTCACAAACAAAAAAACCCCACAAAGACCTCTGACATAGAAAGAATCTTGTGCAAGGTCATTTTTCATTAAAAAAATAAGAAAACCACAAAAAGCAAAATACCAAGTACCCACCCATTCGTAACTTCATTTTGCAGCGTGGACAACAATAGAGGACTACGACTCCCAGAGAGAACTGCGCTAGTGCACTGGCGTAGAAACCAATGGCCGTTTGGTACATGATCAGCATCGACTAATCAGCGGCAGGCTGGAGAAGGCTTTGTCTCCCCGCCGCCCAGCGGGTGCCGTTCTCCCGCCTCCCATCCCTGGCGCACGCGCGCCCCGCCTTGCCCGCCTTCCCTCCTTCGCCCTCCCTGCTCTTCTGCCTCTCAGAATCTTCCTGCCGTCGCGTTCGGATCTCGCTGCTCCATCCTCCCGGGCACGTTCCTTCTTTCAGCTCGCGACCAGCACAGAAAACGAATTACATATTTCCTTGTCCCGAGCATACATTGAGGCGAGCAAAAATAAATTCTAGCCATGAGGGAAATCGTGCACATCCAGGCCGGTCAGTGTGGCAACCAGATCGGTGCCAAGGTAAGAATTTTAAGCCTCTCCTTTTAATTATATTTCTTAGAAGAAAAATCCCGATTAATTTACGAAGGATGGTTATGGGATCATTTGCACTCTCCATCCTTAACCAAGCTTTGCCTTCCAAAAGTTTTTTACTTGTAAGGATACACATTTGTAGTAGTAGCATTTGATTTTGAAAAGATGGGCAATTTATTTTGGCAGGCACATTTTTGGGGGAGTGCTACTAAAAGGACCTTTCAGGTTTGGGGGCCTGGAAGACCCAGGATCTGTAAGGGTTTTCTTAAAGGAGATTTTTCTAACGGTCCAAGGACCAGGGAGGAGTGATGCGGAAACGGTCCGAGACAAAGCGAGGCGAGGTTTTCCCCATGTGGATCCCGCCTCCCCCCGCTTGGCGGGGATTTGTAGAGCAAAACTGGCGGGGGAAGGGTTGAGGCTGGGCGGGCAGCTGCCGAAAGTCCCAGTGCAAAGGTGGGGAACACTGCACCAGGGTGGGCTACACTACGCGCAACCTTCACAAAAGATCGGAGACCTCGGTGTTTCTGCGATACCCGAGGGGCGTTCCCGTCTTTTTATGTGGATGGAGAATAATATATATAGGGGCTTCCTTTAACTTTCATTGCCTCTAAGACCTTTTAGGGCGTCAACACATTCTTAGAGAAGGTGGAAGGGGTGCTTCTATTAAGTAATTCCCTCTGTACCAAATATTGGAGAAAGAATAAAGCAAGTTGGGGGGGGAGGGAAAAAAACTGGCCAGAGAATAAAATTCCGAGGCCTTAGGGGATTTTTTTTTTTTTTCTTTTCTTTTTTTTTTTTTTTTTTTGCGCGCGGTTACAGTGTAGCGGGGGAGGGGCAGAGAGGAAGTGCGGCTGCTACGTTGTAGCCGAAGGGCGGGGTCCTGTGGGGGGCGGGGCCCAGGGGCCCCCGGAGCGCGGGGACAATGCAGCCCTGCCCGCCGGCGGGGACGCGCTAGCTGGAGCGCAGTCCCGCCCCTAAGCGCGCGGAATTTGCCTTGAGCCCCGCCCGCGCGCTACATCTCCTTTTGTCGGATTCTTTAAGTGCGCGTGCGCTGCCATCACGTGGAGGGAGGGGGTGGTCGACTGCAAAAGCCCTAGGTGGCTCAGACACGGCCCTTTTAGTACGGCATGCAGGGGCGGTTCCTACAAGGGGAACGGATAGCCCTTCCATGCGTTCACTCCCACGTTAGCGAACGCCAGGCCTTCCAGCAGCATATCATCTTAACATCCCGAGCAACGAAAGCTACCGCTTTCCTGAATGTGCAAGTGTCTAGGGCAAAGGTGTGGCAGGCAGATAACGGAATGCCAAGCCTTAGAACAGGGCTTACCACTAACCCATCTGGAATGTAGATCCCGTGAAGAGGCATATTTGCGTGGGTTTTGCACTACTTAGGGCTCATTGCTTTTCCTTGGCAGTTCTGGGAGGTGATCAGTGATGAACACGGCATCGATCCCACTGGTACCTACCATGGGGACAGTGACCTGCAGCTGGACCGCATCTCCGTGTATTACAATGAAGCCACAGGTGAGGGCAGGAGCCCAGGAAAGTCGGGTTTTGTTTCTTTAACACTTCTACAGGATCTCTTTCTATTCGTTCTTTTTAAATTAATTTAATAAATTTATGGTACCAGGCATTGGACCCAGGGGCGCTTAATGTTTTATTTTTGAGGTAAGATCTCGCTAAATTGCTGAGGCTGGCTTTAAATTTGAAATCCTCCCAAGCCTCTGAGTTTAAAGGCGTGTGCCACCACGCCCAGCTATTTTTTAATTGTATTTTGAGACACTGTCTTACCTAAGTTGTCCTAAGCTGCTCTCTAACTAGTGAGAGCAGCGTAGGCTCTGTCTCCCAAGCAGCTGGGATTACAGACATGAGCCAGTGTTTCCATTCTTGGGGGCCCATTGTCCCCTTTGGATGAATCCATCATTTTCCTCTTTAGACACCCACCATAAAGGGGCCAAAGACTAGCTCTGCTGCCACCTGGTGGCTGGGCTTGGCATGACAAATTTAAATATGAGGCTGTTTCCTAACAGCAATTGCTTAACCTTCCCCACTGCCAGCTCTCAAACATCTACCTGATTCTCTCTAGGTGGTAAATATGTTCCTCGTGCTATCCTGGTGGATCTAGAACCCGGGACTATGGACTCTGTTCGCTCAGGTCCTTTTGGCCAGATCTTCAGACCAGACAACTTTGTTTTTGGTGAGTTATGCAGATGTTATTAGTGATATTCTTTTATTTAGGTGCAAGAAATAGCAAAAGTTAGATGATTATTGCACTGGAGAGTTACAGGAAATCTGAAATGGAGGGTGGAGGCAAATGACTATTTGGGATATTATGAAAATATATCACAGGTGAAAGAGAAAGGAGCTACCTCTAAGGGAATTTTCCTAAAAGTTGAAAGGTAGAAACATGTACATTCCAAACCTTAAATAATTAATTAAGCTTTCTCTTTAACCCATTACAGGTCAGTCTGGGGCAGGTAACAACTGGGCCAAGGGTCACTATACAGAAGGGGCTGAGCTGGTTGACTCAGTCCTGGATGTGGTGCGGAAGGAGGCAGAGAGCTGTGACTGCCTGCAGGGCTTCCAGCTGACCCACTCACTGGGAGGGGGCACAGGCTCCGGAATGGGCACCCTGCTCATTAGCAAGATCCGGGAAGAGTATCCTGACCGAATCATGAACACCTTCAGTGTAGTACCCTCACCCAAAGTGTCTGATACTGTGGTTGAGCCCTACAATGCCACCCTCTCCGTCCATCAGTTGGTAGAGAACACTGATGAGACCTACTGCATTGACAACGAGGCCCTTTATGACATCTGCTTCCGTACCCTCAAGCTGACCACACCAACCTACGGAGACCTGAACCACCTCGTCTCAGCCACCATGAGCGGTGTCACTACCTGCCTCCGCTTCCCTGGCCAGCTCAATGCTGACCTCCGCAAGTTGGCAGTCAACATGGTGCCCTTCCCACGTCTCCACTTCTTCATGCCTGGCTTTGCCCCTCTTACCAGCCGTGGAAGCCAGCAGTATCGGGCCCTCACTGTGCCTGAACTCACCCAGCAGGTCTTTGATGCGAAGAATATGATGGCTGCCTGTGACCCCCGCCATGGTCGGTACCTCACCGTGGCTGCAGTCTTCCGTGGACGGATGTCCATGAAGGAGGTAGATGAGCAGATGCTGAATGTGCAGAACAAGAATAGCAGCTACTTCGTGGAATGGATCCCCAACAATGTCAAGACAGCTGTCTGTGACATCCCACCTCGTGGCCTCAAGATGGCAGTTACCTTCATTGGCAACAGCACAGCCATCCAGGAGCTCTTCAAGCGCATCTCAGAGCAGTTCACTGCCATGTTCCGCCGAAAGGCCTTCCTCCACTGGTACACAGGTGAAGGTATGGACGAGATGGAGTTCACCGAGGCTGAGAGCAACATGAATGACCTTGTCTCCGAGTACCAGCAGTACCAGGATGCCACCGCAGAAGAGGAAGAGGATTTCGGTGAGGAGGCTGAAGAGGAGGCCTAAGGCGGCTCCCCCATCACCTCAGGCTTCTCAGTTCCCCAGCCTTCCGCTGCCCCTTTCTTCAGAATTTGTGTTAACTGCCTTTTCTTTTTTTCCTTTTTTATTTCCTTTTGGGAGGCATGCAGAACAGTGCCTGACCCATATTAGGCGCTCAATAAATATTTGTTTCTTGAATGTCTCCTCTTTCCACTCTGGCAAACTTAAATTTCTTCCATTCTGGATTACCCTGCATTTCTTTCTGGTACCTACTTTTCACATCTGTCCATTTAATATCTTCTGTTTCCAAAATGATTCTCCCAAGAAGCTGGTTCTTGTCCAGATCCCATTTAGAACTAGCCAGGTGCTTTTAGTGGCCACCATCCTAAGGCAAAATAGTACGAGGTAGAAGGTAGCAGCAGGTAGAAATCACTTGTGATGGGGATGGGATTTTTCATTTTAGGACAGTTTTTTAAAGAGGGGAATCTATGCTTTTACAGTCATTTAGGCACTTCCATGCTCCATCTCTCAGCTTCAGGAGGGGTGTTAACAGTATTATTTCCATTTGCAGCTTCCCTCTCAGCTGTCCATGTTGTGCTCTTCCTTTAGAGGAATCTGCCCCACTCTGAGAGGTGTGAATCCTTCCTCTTTCTGCTTTACCTCTCTCAGTGCATTTCAAAAAGGAGAAGGCCAGCCTTGGTCCCCTAAGCTTCCAGAATTGTCCTCCCCGACCCCCACCTTTTCACCCCCCTCCAAAGAGTAATATGTCTGATATGTGGAAAGGTATGTACTACCACCTAAATGTGATAGTACTCTTCCAGAGGAGGGGCAACAAAACCCTTTTTTAAAGAACATCTCATTTCTTTTGCTATTGCTTTTTCCTTCCTACTGTTGATTTTGTCCTATCCTACACTTCAGATTTCTAATTTGTGTTGAACTTGCTGCTTTTTTTCATATTGAAAAGATGACATTGCCCCAAGAGCCAAAAATAAATGGGAATTGGAAAAAAGAAAGTTGCCAGATGTGTGCTCATTTAGGGAAGATTGCCAGTGGAGGAATGGAGTCCAAAGTTAGTTACATTCTGCTCTCCTTAAACTGATGAGAATATCACATTTAATTGCCTTTGTTTCCTGTCCTCTCCCCACCCCAGACCCAAAGCATTAGAGGTTTACTTATGAAAGCAGATACATATTCAAGGGAAAAATGGCCTGTCTTAAGGCCCCTGGGGATAAAGCAAGGAATACACATAAGGGAGACTGCCATCTAATAATGCTTCTGAATATATAAACTAGTCTTAAAAATCTACCCTATAGGGGCTGGGGTGGTGGCTCAGTGATAGTGTTTGCCTAGCATGTGTGAGGCACTGGATTAAATCCCCAGCACTACATAAAAATGAAATACACTGTCCACCCACAACTAAAAGAAGCTATCCTAGCAGCTCTTTAGCCCAGATTCAACAACCTCAAATTGAAAATATCAAATATAAGACTTTTTCTTGTCTCTCCCCTAAGCAATATAGATCAACTCTTTAAAGGGAAAAAATATGTATATTTGTAGTTATAGGTGGACACAATACCTTTATTTTTATGTGGTGCTGGGGATGGAACCCATTGCCTCATGCATGCTAGGTGAGTGCTCTACCTCTTGAGCCCAGCCCCCAGCCCCCAGATGAGCTCTTTACATAACATTCACTTTTTAAAAAAATTTTGTTTTAGGTGGACACAATATTTTTATGTGGTACTGAGAATCAAACCCAGTGCCTCACGCATGCTAGGCGAGTGCGTTACCACTTGAGCCACATTCCCCAGACCCATTCACATAGCATTAGATATTACTAGTAATCAAGATTTAAAGTATGCATGAGGATATGTGTGTTACATGCAAATACTGCATTTTTGTATAAGGAATTTAGCATCCATGAATTTTGGTATTGGGGCAGGGGGTGATCCTGAAACTAATCCCCTTTGGAGACACAGCAAGGGCTGTTTTATTTTCTTCAGCCATAATTTCAGTAATTCTAAGAAGTAGATTTAAGAAGTAAAGCAATTTTTTTGTGTGTGTATGGTACTAGGGATTGAAACCAGGGCCTTGTGTATGGCAGGCAAGCACTCTACCTATTGAGCGAAAACCCCTGTCCCTAAAGCAATTATTACAATGATTGAACCTAGGATCACTTTACCACTGAACTTCATTCCCAGTCCTCCCCCACCCCTTTTGGTACTGGGGATTTTGGTACCAGGAGCAATTTACCCCTGAGCTCCTTTTAAATTTTAGACAGGGTCTCAGTTGCTTACAGCCTTGCTAAATTACTGAGGCTGACATTGAATTTGTGATCCTGTCTCAGCCTCCAAAGCTGCTAGAATTACAGGTGTGCACTCACCATGCCCAGATCCTTAGTGTGCTTTTCTGGCTACAACCAACATGTTGGGGAAGAAATTAACTACAACTCTTAAGAGTATACAAACAACTTTGTTTTCTTCCAGTCTGGAAAGCTATTAAATGCAAGGGAGCAAGCTACATTCTAGCATCCATTTTGAACTGGTTCTATTAATTGTTCATACTTAACTAAGCATTTATTTGGTAAGAACCTCCAAGACCATTCCTCAGTCTTTGTCAGGAACAAGTTCTAGACAATAGGCTCAGACAATTTTATTTAAGGAAGTTAAATAAGTTGGGATGGGGTGGAGTGGGATCATCAAAGGCTGGCAGGGGACCTCTGGGGTACTGAGAATCATGGCAGACTGAATTTGGGAAGGGGAGCAACCCCCTTCAAGGCAAGGCACAGGCTATTGGCAAGATGTAGGGAACCCCACTGTCAAAAGATACTCAGGGAGGTCAGCTGGGATGCATGCATCAGAACCATTCAGGCAACTTGGAGGCTGGGTACAGGCAGGGGCTGAGGGTTCAGGCTGTTCGCAAAGGTTTGTGGTTCACCTGGCAAAAAGACAAGAATTGATGGCACTTGCAAACCAGGTACCCTGATCTCCCAGGCCCCCACTCAGATAAATGGGCTGTAGGGAGGACACGTAAGTCCAAGAATCTTTCTGTAGTGCACTGCCAAGCAAAGTCATTCAGACCCATGTATAAAATGTCACTGAAGAGGGCAGAACTACCCTTGGCCCTTTATCTTGTACTGTAGACCTCATGAAGGCTCCAAGGAACCCAGCTTGAAAGTCACTGGTATGATCCAATGCTTTCATCTGTACACATACTTTTTATTTAACAAACAATGCTTACTATGTGCCAGGCATGGTTCTGATCACTGAAAGTATTTCTTGAACAGTTCAAAGCTTTTTTTTTTTTTTTTTGGGCGGGGGGAGTGGAGTGGGGGTGGTGTAGGCTCCAGGGTCTTGTGAGTGCTGGGCTCGCTTACCATGCAGCTATCCATCCAGCTCCTTCTTAACAATTCAACAGGGTAGTTTCTATTATTAACTCGTTTTTAAGGTAAGGATACAGAATCAGAGGGATTAAGCTAGCAGGCATTGGGCCAGAATTCACACAAAAACAGTGTTCCAGGGCCTGTTATCTGACCTCTTCTATAATCCATGGATGAGTAAACTGAGGCACCAAGGAAAACAGTGATAATTATGGCTTGGAATTAATTCATTATCAACAGGCTGCAACTACTTCCCTGTATTAATGAAACAATAACACAGGCCCAGCTTCACCAGCTATGAGTGGGCTGTTACTTTACATGTCAGAAGTAGTGTTCTTCACTTTGTAAAAATACTACATACCCTAAAAGTAGTTTAAAACAAAACAAACAAACAAAAAAACCCATCTAGGTAGAAGCGTATCAGTGTGTCTGACACACAGAAAGCAGTTAATATCTGGATTCCCAGGTGTCCTGGGTGCTGGTGAAATACTAGGCCTACTCTATCACATGACACAGAAACTCAGAAATTCTTCACCCCAGAGACCCTCACCTGGGAGATGCTGACACCCGTGAGTCTCTCCACACTCTCTGGCAGGCGGCTTAGGATGTCCAGTACCTCCCCAGTCACTTTGGCTGCCCCCATGGTCCCACTTCCACTGGACACCAGTGTAATCTTATTGGCTGAGGTCAAGGGACCACTGATTTCCTCTGCCACCTGGTGGGTAAGACAAGCCTTGTGAGTGCCCATGATCTGGCCTCATCTCTCATCAAACAACTTAAAGACCCTTATTCTATTTCATGCTTTCTCACTTTGCTCTCTGGCTTTTAATTCCCACTCCTAATTTAATGGCCCCTAGCTTGGTTCTCCCCAACCTCCTCATTTCACCTCACCCCTCAATCCCTGCTTGTGAATTCTCTCCCAGAGCCCATACTACCCCCAGACCTGGGGCAGTTTCTCTAGCAGCATGTCCAGCTGGGCAGCCTCCTGGTACAGCTGGAACGCTTCTGCCTTCTTGGCCATCTGCTCAGCCTCTGCACGGGCTCGGGCCCCTATGGCAAAGGCTTCGGCTTCCCCGCGCATCTGACCAAGGTACAGAATACTTGTAATGGAATTAATGGGAGTAATTAAGAACAAGAAACCCAAGGCCATGCAGGAACCCACAAACCACTCATCCATAAGCCAGCAAGGAGCCACATCCTAACTCACCCGAACAGATTCGGCTTCTGCCTCTGCCTGCATAATCAGCTGGGACCTAGGGACAGAAAGGAAGTGGAGGGAGGAGCGGAGAGACACCCCCCCACCCAAACCAAGCTCCTTAGGAGTCCGGGTGGGGAAGGCTTCAGCTCTCCCTCGGCAGGTAAGCTTGGCAGAAGAGTCAAAAGGGAACCAAGGAGGGCTGGGACTGTGTGAGGCACGGGGTTCAATCCTCAGCACCATATTAAAAAATAAATAAATAACAATATTGTGTCCATCTACAACTTAAAAAAAAAAAAAAAGGAACCAATGAGGGAGCATTTACTTCTCCGCCTCGGCGAGCCGCTCCAGCTTGTAGCGCTCAGCCTCCGCCGGCTTTCTCACGCGGGCCTCCAGCTCCTTCTCTCGGCGTGCGATCTCTTGCTCCTGCACCGCCACCTGCTGGGCCCGCTCCACCACCTGCACCTGCACCCGCTGCTCCTCGATCTGCTGCTTAGTCTTGGCCACCTGGGTATAAGGGGGCCCCTCAAAGTCAGAGCTAAAAAGCCATGTATCCGGGAGGAACCAGAGACCAGGGCACCAGGATGAAGTATCAAAATAGGATTAGGTCCATGAAATCGGTTCCCAGTCTGCTCAGCATTGCTCAGTGGAGTCCCTTCCCATACTGATCCAAGGCAGGGCCCTGGGGCAGCCTCATGCTCTTCTTCAGATCCAGGAAAAAAGATGAGGGATCTAGCCAATTAGAGATGGCATGACTGTAAACCCAGCACTTAGGAGGCTGAAGCAGGAGGATTACAAGTTCCAGCCTAGCCTCAGCAACTTAGTGAGATGCCGTCTCAAAATAAAAAAAATAAAGGGCTGTGGATGTGGCTCTGTGGTAGTGCATCCCTGAGTTCAATTCCCAGTACTAAAAGAAAAAAAAAAAAAAAAAAAATGGGATCTGAAGATTTAGCTTCAGAGCTAGGTGGGGCCAGGACCTGCTCCCTCTTCTCCCTCAAGCAGGGGGTTAAGTGTCCCTCAGAGAAGCTTACATATTAATCTGTTGCACCACTGTCTCCTTCTACAGTACAAATACCTTGAGGATGCTGAGCACTTGGTGATCTTCTACCTTCACATTTTCATTCAAATCCATCCACCTCTCTCCATCTTTTTTTTTTTTCCATACTTTTTTTAGTTGTCCATGACCCTTTATTTTATTTAAATGCAGTGCTGAGAATTGAACCCAGTGCCTCACACATGCTAAGCAAGAACTCTACCACTGAGCTACAACCCCAGCCTTGCCTCTCTCCATCTTTGCTGCCTTAATTTAGTGTGGGCCACCATCAACTCCAGCCCCAACTAATGCAACAGACTGCTGACTTTTTTTTTGCCAAGTCGGTGGATATCTTGGATAAAAATGGTTTTCATTTTTATTTTTAACATACGGCACAAGTTCAAAAGAA